AACTCAAAGCAATCCTGCCTCAGCCTCCTGAGTGTTGGGATCACAGGTGTGCACCAGCATACCTGGCTTTTTTGCCCATTTTCTAACTGGATTGTTATTGTTGTTTTAGTGTTGAGATTTAAGAGGTGTTTAGGTAGTGTAGAGGAGTCCTTTGCCAGAATAATGGGGCCTTTTACAGAACAAACTTCTCTGTGTGTGTGTGTGTGTGTGTGTGTGTGTGCTATTGGGGGTTGTACCCAGGACTTTTGAACTGACCTATATCCCTGGCCCTTTTTATATTTTTTATTTTGAGGCCAGGGCTCAATAAGTTGCTGAATTGTCTGGGCTGGGCTTGAATTTATAGTCTTCCTGCCTCAGTCTCTCAGAGAGCTGGGATTACAGGCATGTGCCACTGTGCCCAGCAAGTTTTTAATTTTGAAGAGGTAAAATTTTTCAGTGTTTTTTTTTTATGGATAATGCTTTGGATATCAAAGCTAAATACTCTCTGCCTACCCCTACATCCTGAAAATTTTCTCTTTCTTTTCTAAAAATTTAAAAACTTTACATTTTATATTTAAGTCCATGATTCATTTTGAGTTGATTTTTGTATAAGGTATAAGATTTAGATGGAGGTTCATTTTTTTGTCTTTAAAGTCCCTGTTTTCTTAGAGTAGTTTTAGGTTCATAAAAAAAATGAGAGGAAAGTACAGAGATTTCCCATGTAGCTTCCTCAAACACACAGAGCCTCCCCATTATCGACACCCTCCACCCCAGCAGCGCATTGGTTACAAGTGATGGACCTACATGGACATATCTTATCACTCAGGGTCCACAGATTACATGAAGCTTCACTCTTGCTGCTGTACATTCTATGGGTTTTGACAAAAGTATAACAGCACGTACTCACCATTATAGTATGATGGGGTATTCAAAACCCTCTTTCTCTGCCTTTTAACTCCTGGAAGCCACACATCTTTTTCTTATCTCCATACTCTTGCCTTTTCCAGAATGTCATATAGTTGGAATCATATAATATGGACCTTTTTAAGGTAGGCTTCTTTCATTTAGCAATTTAAATTTCCTCTATGTCTTTTCATGGCCTGATAGCTCTTATCTTCTTATCCCAGACTAATACTCCATTGTCTGGATGTACCACAGCTAACTTTTCTACTGAAGAATGCTTTGGTTGCTTCCAAATTTTGAATATGACTTGCAATAAAAACCCATGTACAGGTTTTTGTATATAGATAAATGTTAACTCCTTTGGGTCGATACCAAGGAGTGTGATCGCTCAATCATATGATAAGGGTATGTTTGGTTGTGTAAGAACCTGCCAAACTGCTGCTAAAATAGCTTTACCATGTTGCATTCCCACCACCAATGAGTGAAAATTCTTATTCTTCGACATATTCTCCAGCATGCAGTGTTGCTAGTGTTCTGGATTTTGGTCATTTTCATAGGTTTTTAGTGATACCTCATGGCTGCCTTAATTTGCATTTCCTGATGGTGTAGAGCAACTTTTCTTATGCTACTTACCCTCAGTATATCTCCTTTGGTGAGGTGTTTGGTGAGGTTATTAGCATTCTTGCTGTTAAGTTTTAAGAGACTTCTTTTATATTTCGGCTGGTGATCCTCTTTTAGTTATCTCTTTTGCAAATATTCTTTCCCAATCTATGGCTTATATTTTCATTCTCTTAAGCTTGAGGTTCACTTTTTGGCGTTTGTTGGTATTTTGCTCTTTAATTTCTATCTCTCTAGCTCCATTTGTTGGAAAGATTATTCTTTCACTGAATTGCTTTTGCACCTTTGTGAAAAATTAGCTAGGCATACTTGTGTGAGCTTATTTCTGGGTTTTCTGTTCTACTCTTTAAATGTCTTCGTTACTACAGCTGTATAATCAGGTGAAGGATTTCTTTCTTTCTATCTTTGTTCCTTTCTCT